CACCACTTCGTCTACCCGTAATCTCCCTACTCCCTCGCTGACCAAATGCAGTTTGAGGCCTCGAAGATTCTTGCCCTAACTCCCTCAGTGCTTTCCTTGGGGCATTACACATCCCTTTCTTGTAACCTTGAGAAAGGCAAACCAACAATCAGGTAGATTGCCCAGAGCCCTGGAGTCTAGACTAATCTCTGCCATCTCCCTTAGGGATACTGGGCAGGATGCTTTTCTCTTCCAGGCCTAGCTTTCCTCCTGTGTAGGGACAGCAGTGAAATTAAATGGTTAAGAGCTCTCTTTCTGCCTGAAGATCTTCAACCTTTCTTAAAAGCCTTTGCCCTGGTCCTTGCTTTCATTTCATTTTCTCTCAACCCAGGTCTTTCGTCATCAGTGGGAAATATGAATAGTTTGTGAATTCATTTTGGGTTAGAAACTTATGTATTTTCCTCTGGATCCTGTTTTTTTTTTTTTTCTATGTGTCCTCTAAAATAAACACCCCTGTCTTGACACCTCCTCTTGAAACTTTGACCTTTAATGTAGACCATAATGGTTAGCTTTTTACTTTGAGTACCCCCTGGAGAACCAGGATTCTGCCCTCCCAAGTCAGCAGGAGCCAGGCTATCTGCTTTATCATTCTAACGAAGGCCTTTGCAAATCAAAAGTTGGGTTCTTCATTCTGCTGAAGGGCTGAGAAATAAGACTCTATTACTTGCAGAAGAGGGAGGAAACTGACACCTTTCACTGCATATGAATGGTAGTCCTTCCACAAAACTGTCAGGATGCCAGAGACTCTGGGCTCCTAGAGTGTAAATGGTTGTAAAAAAAAAGAATTTGAATTTATGAGGTGACAGATCTGAATTCAAATCCACTGCCTTGTGTTAATTTTACATTGAAGTGCTTTATTCTCTCTGAGACATTTTCCTCAATAACAAGAGGGGAATAATTGTAACTTTTAAACTTTATTTTGTGTGTGTGTGCCAGGAATTGAATTTAGGGTTTCTCATATGCTAATAGGAGATCTCTCATCTATACATCCCAGTTCCTGATACTTATAACTCTTTTTTGTAATTCTTTTATTTTTATTTTTAAAAATTTAATTATTTACTTTTATTCTTTAATTTGTTGATTTTCATAACATTATTATTTCATATCATTATTTCCCATGGCCACAAATGTGAAACATCTACAAAAACTTAAATATAGTACAAAATATATAATCATATGATAATACAATTATATAATCATATTACATTACATAATAATACTAATACAATAATATATAAACTTTAAATAATTTCCAACCTATTTTAATGCACTTATGTCAATTTTGTTAAAATATTAACAGAATTGAAGATTTGGGATTTAATGGAGTAATTGGATTGTTCTGAGGATTGAAGGAGATAATATTAAGCACCTGGCACTTTGGTCATGCCTGGCACTCAATCACTCCCTTTCCACTGTGGTTCCCTTTCTGCCTTATGATTACCAACTGGCAAGCTGTGAGGAGATCAGTAGCAGACCATAGGAGACTTTGGGAACAGTTTTCAAGATTTTCCTGGGAGTCCCTAATTCTGCCTGCATCAACGTTCAGATGGGAAGGAGGAAGAACACAAGTCAAGAAAGAAGAAGATTGGGGGGTCTGGCAAGCATAAGCTTATTTTCTAGTTTAGATTGAGAAACTACAGGAGTCTGTCCATTCTCCAGGTGAAGTGAGGCAGTTCCTGGGTTTACTGAAATATGATAGACTTCTGGACAAGTTTCCCTCATTAAGTTGATCCCTTTTTCAAGATCTACCATCAAACTGTGGCAAATCAGCCTGTCTTGGGCCCTGAACCTATTGAAAATGGGGGGTTTTATTGTTCTGTCACCTTAATGATAGCAGCTTGTTAAGGATGAGCCAAAAGGGAAGGGGCGTAGGGTTGTAACTAATGAATCTGAATGATGCTGTATTGCCTTGGAATGAATCCCTGACAGGAACATGATGGATGTAGAGAAATCTAAATTCCTTTAGGTTGTGGCCCAAGATTCAAGTGAGAAGGTTGGTTGGTGTGATTGATTGCTCTGAAGGTAAGATGGATGAGGATGAGAGATGCTTGAAAGAAGAGACTAGGAAACTATAAACTTTGGGGAACATCAGGCAAATTTTTTAAGGAATTCCCATTGCTCTGGATTTTCTTTTCTTTTCTTTTTAAAAAATATTTATTTTTTAGTTTTTGGCGGACACAACATCTTTGTATGTGGTGCTGAGGATCAAACCCGGGCCGCACGCATGCCAGGCGAGCCTGCTACCTCTTGAGCCACATTTCCAGCCCCTTCTTTTCTTTTTTAATTGTTTTGTGTTACTAGATTGAACCCAGGGGTGCTGTACCACTGAGCAATATCTCCAGCCCTTTTTATTTTTTATTTTGAGACAAGGTCTTGCTAAGTTGCCCAGGTAGGCTTCAAAGTAATGATCCTCTTGCCTCAGCCACCCAAGTAGCTGGGATTACAGGTGTGCACCATTATGCCTGGCTTCTCTGGGTTTTCTTGGTGAAAATTACTGATATAATTCCACAGTATAAACAAGGTTTGTGTCTCCCGCAATGAGCATTTCAACAGGACAGTGGGGGGATGGTTTTGTTTCTGAAAATCCCTCTTAAAATTATCTGACTATGTCAGTAAAGTCCTGGGGAAAGTGTCCAAGCACCAGGTGCCTGAATTCTTTGGATAGAGATTCTGTTAGGAATATGGGAGAAAATCCAGTTTGCTCATTTCTCCAGCACAGTGTCATGACTTAAGTTTCAGGGTAGCTACTTTGTCATCCATGTTTATTGAGGGTTTAACCTCAGGGCCAGATAATTTTATGTTTTTGTTTTTTAATTTTTCTCTAAGCCCCAGGGAAATGATCTTTACTTTTGTCTGCCAATTTCTTCAAAAATATTGCTCTTAGTTTTTCTCCAGTTCCCACTTCTTCTACCATAGCTCACCCCCACCCCTATACACACTTTCTTACTTTGTCATTGCTGCTGTGTTTTTTAACCTTCCTTGGAAGGGGGGACATAGAGGAAGTCTTCCATGTCCTTGACACAGGCTGCAATTTTATGGATTTCTCATTGTCTCTGGTCTCTGACATCTGTAGTAGTTTTAAATGCACTAGATGCAATAGAGACCAGAATGAGATGCCCATTCCCTGAATGAAAATGTCACTTTCCTTATCACTTAAAAATAAATGAAGACCTTTATTTTTAGGTATTTAAAAAATGAAACTAATTCTTTCTGATGACAAAAATATTTGTTTATTGTAGGGACATGTATAAATTTTTAAAAGCAGAAAAATGAATAAACCACTCAAATTTACTATTACATTATGGCAAATATTTTTATATTTTTAAAAACAAATTGGATTCATCATATACATGCTATTTAGTAATCATCTTTGTTAATATCATGTATGTTTTCCATGTTACTAAAGATTTTTCAAGGGCTGGGGATGTGGCTCAAGCGGTAGCGCGCTCGTCTGGCGCGCATGCGGCCCGGGTTCGATCCTCAGCACCACATACCAACAAAGATGTTGTGTCTGCCGAGAACTAAAAAATAAATATTAAAAAAATTCTCTCTCTCTCTCCTCTCTCACTCTCTCTTAAAAAAAAAAAAAAAAAAAAAAAAAAGCTGTGTCCGCCAAAAACTAAAAAAGTTCTCTCTCTCTCTCCCTCTTTCTCATTCTCTCTCACTCTTTCTTTAAAAAAAAAAAAAAAAAAAAAAAAAAAAAAAAAAAAGATTTTTCAAGAAAATTATTTTAGGGTTAAAATTCCACTATAGGGCCATGATTTAAATGGTTTATCTTACTGTAAAACATTTAAATGATTTTCTAATTTAAAACAAGAAGCTGGGAGTGTTTCTCTGCTCTTTTTGATCATCCTTTTATTTGTTTATTCAACCTCCCTGCAGGCTACCAGGCCCTCGCAGACAGGAGTGATTCCCAAGGCTGAGATATTCAGATTTAGGAAACCGGTGGCTGAGCCCCTAGGGCTCTTCATGGGAAACTACCCCTCCTCCAAAAATTACCAGTGGGGAAAGATGTAGAAATGTAAATGAGGAAAGTAGAATCCACAAGTCTCCTAGTCAGTTGCCCTGGGGCCCCTGCTTGGTGCATAGACAACCTAGGAAGCTCAAGTTAAGGGAGCAAACAGGCTTTGAATACAGTCCAAGTTCAAAGGGCTACTTTAGTGCCCAAATTACTTAGGTGGTATTAAAATAACACCTTGTAAATCTGTGAGTCTGTATTGTTTTTCTATTGGCCAGTGCCTGGATCTCAATTTTATTATCTGTCAAAATTGGAATCAAGGGAGTTGGATATTTCTAGCTTCCTCCATTAGCCTGCTGGATAATTGGGAAACAGAAGCAGGGTTCCAATTCCCTTCCTGGTCCCAAGGTTATCAAGGGGAGTAGTAAAAGGTCCCAGTTGGATGTATCCTAGAAACATTTTTTACAAAATGCAGTTGAGTTCCCAATCTGGAAAAATGGCAAAATGGATGTTTTATAGCCCTCTGGGGGAAAGTCTCTCTTATAGATCTTTGTCTGATAAATGAGAGTCACCGGTCTACTTACTGTGACCATTCCCTCTCCTTGATACCAGAATGGTTTATGAGCTGAAAAAGCCCTCCTGATTTCCCTAGGCTCGGGTGAGGAGAACTTAAAAAGTGCATACTCAGGTGAAAAAAATCAACATTCTAAAAACCTTCCAGTAGGAAATAGGCAGCCTCTGCCTCATATATCTGCAGGAATTTGCAGTTGGTCTTTCTCGACCTAGCCACAGTGGCAGAAGGTTGCTCCTTCTGGGATCTGAACTGTACCCTTTTAAGTTTTTGCTTCTATTTTCTCTGATTCCCAGCAGCACAGTTGGGCTGGATATGGCCTAAAACTTGTAAGGAATAAATACTTCGAGGGTTCCTCTGGATATGGACTCCCTCAAATTCCCATTTTAGCAAGCTGCATAATAAGTACAGGGACAAATACCAGGAAGTAACTTGCAGGAAAGATTGGGTCTGCCCAAGTTAGGAGGAGGCCCAGGTTTTAATATCAACTCTGTCAATATGCTGTATAATCTTGGACCTCCATTTCCCCATCTGTAGCAGATATCACGAGGACCACAGATATCCCTGTGATTGTCCAATTGTTTTCCAGTCTACTCTCTCCAAGAGAGAAGAGGTGTCACCCTCCACTGTCATGCAACTGAGCAAATCAGTTCATGTGGGGTGTTATCAGGATCTCCTGTTTCCCCGGCCCCGAGCACTGCCCGGGGAGCGCATGCAGTAGTACTTGTTGACCACATGCCTACACTGGTCACACTTGACGGTGCAGCACCATTGGAATTTGCAGTTACAGCTGCTCACAGCTTCAGTTCTCCTTTCTTCCACTTGCAGCCCACACTCAGTGCACAGGTGCCCACAGCTGCGTTGCTCCCGCTTAGATGTGTTGTGGCTGTTCTGCAGGCATTCACGACCCTCTGTGCCATAGATGCCCAGGCTGGAATTGCGAGTACAGTAGTCTGGAGATTCCTCTAAAAAGATCAGCTCAGCTTCTATACTAGGAAGGAAGGCCTCAGTGGGAGCCCAGCAACCTTCAGCGCTGTTCCCAGCCCTTAGCTGCCGCTTATCCATCTCAATTTTTAGTGCCTGGTCATACTTGGCCTTTAGGTAGTTTCCCATCTCCCGGAAGTCAGCCAGCTGCAGCCAGCATGTCTGGATGCTGCAGCTCCCTGAGATGCCGTGGCATTTGCAGATCCGTTTCATGGTAGCTCTTACTGCCTTCACAGAGAGAAAACAAAAGAGAGAATGGCTCTGGCAACAGAAGACCAATGGTTAGCAATTAAATGGAATATTTTAGGGGTAAGGTTGTGGATCAGTGGTAGAGTGCTTGCCTGGCATGTGTGAGGCCCTGGGTTCAATCCTCAGCACCCATAAAGACAAACAAATAAAACAAAAGGTGTTGTGTCCATCTACAAATATATATATATATATATATATATATATATATATATATATATATATATATTAGAGCTGTGCTTCTTGGCTTTAGAGGATTATTAGGGAGCATCATAAAAATATTTGTTCTTGGGCCCTACCTCATATTTTTCCAATGAGGATGTTTTGAGATTTAAGGACCTGGTACTTTAAATCATCTTGGGTGATTCTGGTGAAGAGTCAGGCAAATGTTGAGAAGGTTACTGGAGTCAAGAAACCTAGGCCCCAGGCCCAACTCCATCATTTGTAGATCATATTTCTCTACCTGCCCAACTGGGATAAAAATGGAATAAAATAGGGTCTGGAGCTAGGTGTGGTGGTGCAAGCTTGTAATGCCAACAGCTCGGGAGGCTGAGGCAGGAGGATCAGAAGTTCAAGATTAGCCTCAGCAACTTAACAAGGCCCTTAGCCACTTAGCAAGACCCTATCTCAAAACAGAAAATTAAAAAGGGCTGAATAAGTTACTCAGTGGTAAGTTCCCTGGGTTCAATCTCCAGTACCAAAATAAATAAACGAATAAAAAATAAAATCATGGTCAAAGAATACTTTATAAAATATAGAGAAAATATGATCTTTGACACTGTAATCATCTGGAAGTGGGGAACTAGAGTATTTGTGGTAGTTTGGATTTTCCATCCTGACCCTCTCTCAGAAGGAAGGCAGCTCCTAGAATCTGAATCTTTACATTCCAAGGCAAGTAATTACCCATGGTTCTACTTGTCTTGAAAACCTTTTCCTTCTGCCCTGAGCAACCAGAACATCTAGGTACAGGTCCACAAGGAAATTTCTATGATTTTGGCTATAAGTCCAAGTTCCTTGCAGATTTGAGTTTAGAATATTCCAGAGATTGCTACTCTACCAGAAATCGGGACAATAGATGCCCTCCCTCCCCAACTTCTGAAGCCAGATAGTCCCAATCCTTCACAGCCCAGACTTTAGGACACAATAAACTGCTATTAATGTCCTAGAACATACAGTTAAAGTGATTAAAATTTTAAGTCATGGAAACAAGGCCTTGATTCTGTATTGTTCTGTGTTCCCAGAAATCTGCCTGTAGAGAGGGCCTAGTACAAGGTTTAGTGATGAGAGAACTAGCCTTATAGATCTGAGTTCATTGCCTGGCTCATATGCTTATTAACTGTATTGGTGCAGACAAGTCATTCAGTATGGACTTAAAATTGGCTTTGTCATCCAGAGAATGGGGATAGCTGTCTCAGTTGTGCTGGATGGTTATGAGGATGAAACAAGGGTATGTCAGCTCTGGGTAAACTGTGAAGTGCTGTGCAGATGTGAAGCTGTTGCCAACATTGGCTGACTCCTATACCCACCAGCCTGCCGGCCCTGTTGTTGTGAAGATTCATCAGGGCTCTGGCATCCTTCCCTTTCTCCAAACTGTCCACAAAGAGTTTGGAGATCCTTTCCCCAAATTCCACATTGTCGCTGCAGCCTCCCCAGATCCAGCCATGGCCTCCTACACATAAGGAAAGAATAAATTCTGCATACAGCTCCCTGCTGTATGCAGGGAGAAGAGTCAGTCTTTTTGACTGACACAGCCAAATCATCCCCACGAACCCTAGGAGAGGGTAGTGCTTCAACTAAAGGTGAGAGAGGGAAATGAAGGTGCTTGGGGAAAATGAGGGGAGTCTTGTTCCCAAAGCCAATTTATGGCATTTCTCTGCTCTAAGAAATAAGTCTTCAACACCCACAGTAAACGAAGGTGCATGGGGCCAGTCCAGATGATCTCAAAGGTTAATAGAAGCTCAAACATTCTGGAATTCCACACCATTATTCTACAGTGGTCTTAAGAGTCATTTTTCTCCCTAATAAGTGACAAATTTAGGTAAGTTTCTTATGTGGTCTGAAAATAGTTTTGTAGCACTGGGTTATGGACAAATCATTCCAATACCAGGGCTACCTTTAAACTCTCTTTGGTCTTCTCATTCCCGTCTTTGTTGGTTTTAGAGATACTTGCCAATCTGTGGACTCATGGACCAAGACTCATCTTTCAGGAGAGTCTAGGTCCAGGAGCTCCCATGACTTGGGGTGGGGGGTGCTAAAGTCTAGGGGTTTGATGACCTGTGTCCCTCAGCCTTTCCCTGGAAGACTTTAGCCTGAGCTCTGCTCTGTAGCTCCTCACCTCTCCTCACCCCTGTTGAAAAGCCCAACTTTTACCTGTTTTTCCATTTTTTGACTCATCACAGCCACAGTTTTCAAAGTCACCCATGCTACAGTTCTTGGTGATGGTGTACATGACTCCGGCAGAGCTGATGGCATGAATGAAGGAAGTCTCTCTGGTGGCTTTGGAGAGAAAAAGGGAAATGACTATAAGCTTGGGCTGATAACCCAAAGCGGAGGCTTTGAAAACACAATGCTCTTTTGCTCTCCCTGCCCCCCTCCTCATTTGGGTTGAGAAGATGCTCTTCTCCTAAGGAAAATGCTACAGATGGGGAAGATGAAACCAAGAGATAGAATGATGAGACCAAGACTACTCTCCAGTTGTGGTGTTGGGATCAGGACACTGCTCTCCTGACGTCCAGCCTAGAGCCAGGTATCATGGCACATGCCTGTAATCCAGACTCAGGAGGCTGAGGCAGGGGGATTGCAAGTCCAAAGCCATCCTCAGCAACTTAGTGAGACCCTAAGCAACAAGTCCAGTCTGGACCTCTTCTAGCCACAGTTGCTGATCTGTGGGGCAGTGAGGCTCATGTCCACAAGGCTAGCTTAGGAAAGAGAGAAGGTCTGGGTGTAGTGGAGCATGGCTTTCAGACCAGAGACTTGGGAGGCTGAGTTAGGAGAATTGCAAGTTTGAGGTCAGCCTCAGCAACTTAGCTAGACCCTAAGCAACTTAACAAGACTCTGTCTCAGAATAAAAAAATAAAAAGGGTTGGAGATATCGTTCAGTGGTAAAGTGCCCCTGGGTTCAATCCCCACCAAAACAAACAAACAAACAACAACAAAAAAAAAAAACAAGAGAGACAGAGACAGAGACAGAGAGGATCTATTCTTTCTGACCTCAAAGCTATGTTCCTATAATAATCATAATCATTGTGGCTGCTATTACTGAGCTCTTATCTTGCTAAACTCTTCACAAACACCATCACATTTCGTTTCCACTTATCTATATTTTATCTGTTTACCCCATGAGAAGTTAGTTCTTCCACTCCCATTTTCTTTATTACCTTTCCCCTCCACCCTTCTCAGGCAACTCTATTGTTTCTACAAAAATTACTTTTATGCAAACTATTGCACATAGTTATAAACACACACACACACACACACACACACACACACATACACACACACACACGCACACGCAGCCCACCTGAGGCAAAACTCAATGTGATCTCTCGGCTTCACTGTTGCTAGGATTTTAAGAGAATTAGGCAGATGTAAAACTCCCCCAGGAGCTGCAAACAAAGAGCCCTTTCCCCGTTTTTATTTCATGTAAATTGGTGAATTATGTACAAACACACACATACAGGTATGCACTAAAAACATAATTTCTTAAAGTATGTTGTGAGACACCTCTGCCTACCTCATTCAACCCTTAGATTGGCTAAATAGAGCCGGTCTTACTGACTCAAATGACAAAACTGGGGTTGAGAGAGGGAAAGTAACTCACTCAAGGTCACACAGCAAGGAAATGGCAGGTCAACAGATTACCAGTCACTTTCTCATTTCTCTGAGCACACACATTACATAATGCTGCAAGTCCACCTCCATGCACAGGCACCCTCTGTACAGGTGTGCTCTCACATAGACTTACCACTTCTCAGCCTGTTGTGGGTAGAGAGCTGCAGAGCATTTTCAGGGCAGTTCCAGCGTTCCCAAGCAAACTGGAACTTACACTCCTCGATGCCACTCTGGGCACCCAAGGCCACACTGGTAGTATAGGTCAGATAGGCCTGGGTAGGGGAAAAGGGCTGTGAGCTTCTGCCCAGTATAGGTCATCTGGGGTTGGGGGAGCAAGGACGACTCCAATGGGCGAGTTCTCCACTAAGAAAACAATCCTGGGTCTCTGGGTGAAGGGGTCTGGCAGTGTCTCCCCCATCCCTCTTTCTTTTTCCCCCAGAAGATTTCCCTTAGGAACCCCAAGGGCAAAAAAACAGGAGTCCTACCTTGGGGCCTGTTATCAGGAAATTATTCACTGACCTATCAAAAAAGAAAAAGGGAGGCAGAGGTGAATGGGATGAGATAACGGGGGACTTTCTTGGAGGGGAGCAAGGAGTAAGGGAAGGGACTTACCAGGCAGAGGCACCAAAGGTAGCACAGCATATTCCCATGGTTACCCACAGCATGAACAGGTCCCTCATGGCCCTGCCTACCCTCAGGGGACCAGGTCCAGCTCAGGGCCAAGTGCAGAGAAGTGAGGAGTGAGCAGAGTCTTACTCAGTATTTATGTGGGCAAATTCTGAATGGCCAAGGGGGAAAAAATCAACAGCCCTTCTCATTTGTTCCTCACTGGCAGGGCTGCAGGAGTCACTGACCCAATAGGGGATTAGGGAGGAGGAACTCAATCCAAAACCTTCCATGAAGCCCCGCCCCTGCCCAGCCCTTCTTCCCTCCCTGACAGGCAGAAGGCTGAAGCTGTTCTCCCACCCTTGAGGTTCATTTCCTCTGTAAGTCAGTTTGTCTCTTCCTGATTAGGGACCATTTCTCAGAGTCTTGTAGACCGGAACAACCTAGGCAAGTCACCTATCTCTTGGAGCTACCGTGTCTTCATCTGTCAGGGAGACATCACTCTGTGCCCTGCTTTCTTCCCTAAGGTGTTAATAATCATAGAGGAATTCTCTTTGGGGGGGCCCCTCCTATTCATTTACCCAAACAATTGAGTGTAGTCAACCCTACCTACTCCCCTGATGACTATGAGGTGATGAAATTGTGGGACCATGGAGCAGAAATATTTCAGAGCCTGTCTTGGCAATAGTTCCTTTTACTACATTCTACCAAAGTAAGTTCTGATAAATTTCCTTAATTCTAGCAGGTCTATCCTTTTGTATCTTAGGGTTAGGTCTCTAGTTTGTTAATTGTGTATATATGTGAGTTCAACCTTTGGGCTACCCAGGGCTATATTTGAAAAGACAGATGACTTTCTTTGTGATACTGATACCACTTTCTTTTTGCAGTGAGAGGGGGAAATGGGCCAGGTTTTCTGGGGATGGGACCAGGACCTGTGCATGCTTTACCACTGAGCTACACCTGTAGCCCCTTCTTTGTTGCTAGGTTTCAGCTACTTAAGCAGGAATCTGTCCTTTAGATTGACTTTGTGTTCTCAGAACAAACCTCTATGAAGGAAGGAAGGAAGGAATGGAAGAACTCGTGGCCTGTAACAGAGACATGGGGCACCACTAGGCAGGATTGGGGACTATGTGAAGGGCTAGAGGTCATTCTTAGTTGGTGAGGCTCTTTCTCAGGATTGGGGAAGGAAGCTAGAGTACTTCAGAGGAAAACACAGAATGGGAACACGTTCTGACTCATGGTCCTGTGACTATCATAGTATCCAGATTACTTCCAGCACCCTAGAACTGGTACAACAATCCCCCCACCAAAGGAGTTCCAGGGGCCATGGAGTCCCCAGGCCTTTTTAGGGTAGTTCACTTAAAGTATGGGCCAGAAATGGTGTCAGTCTGCAAACTGTTTTCTTTCTGTGACAAGATAAGCACTGAAATAGAATTGAGCATAAAATTTATAGTAATTTGATGGAATGGTTTTAAACATGTTGGACCTAATAATAAGATACTTGGATTCCAACCTGTGTGTGGCATCACATATCCATAATCTCAGTGACTCAGAAGGCTGAGGCAGGAGGATTACAAATTGGAGGCCAGCCTAGGCAATTTAGTGAGATCCTGTCTCAAAAAATAAAAAGTTCTGGGAATGTAGCTCAGTGGATGTAGCTCACTCTGGGTTCAATCCCTAGTACAGGGGTGGGGGCAAGGGTAGAGGAGAGAAATTTGGGCTACCTATAGTTTTTTTTTAAAGTATTTTTAAATTTTGGTACTAGGGATTGAACCCAGGGGTGCTTTAGCTCTGAGTCATATCTCCAGCACTTTTTAATAACTTTTATTTATTTATTTATTTTTATGTGGTACTAAGGATCAAATTCAGGACCTCTCATGTGCTAGGCAAGCTCTCTACCACTGAGCTACAGCCCCAACCCTCCATCACTTTTTATTTTTTTATTTTGATACAAGGTCTCACTAAGTTGCTTATAGTCTTGCTAGGTTGCTGAGACTGGCCGTATACTTGTAATCCTCCTGCCTTACCCTCCCAGGTTGCTGGGATTACAGGTGTGCCATTATGTCTGGCTGGGCTCCCTATGATGTATGCTTTTATTCTGTTTCACTTTTCTTGAAGGGTGAATGTGAAAAGACCTCACTGGACTCTGACTCTCAGACCCTGCAAGTTCTTGGCCTCTACTTGCTTGTCAACTTCTCTGCTTGATAAAAAGAGACATACCACACTTGAGTCACTTGGGAAAAGCCCACTGAGACACTATTTTACCCAGTCAAGAATCTAATGTTGGGCTGAGTTTATGACTCAGTGATGGAATACTTAGCATGTATGAGGCCTTTGGTTTGACCCCCAGCACTGTGGAACAGTGGGATGTGGGGCAGGAGGGTAGGGGGGAAACAATCTCATGTATAACTTTCACTTCTTAAAACAGTAGGGTTGGTTTCTATGCCACTCAGTGGGATCAGAACAGGCTTAGCCCTAATATGATCCCCTCTTTCCCCTCTTGACAGAGTTTTAGGTATGAATGCGCATTCATTGCCTATGTATGAGTAATTGGGTCTTGTTCTTCTGTGTACCCATAACACCTGGCATAGAGAAATATTCTTCCATTTTCTAGGCAGCAGAGAGGAAGGAAGTGGAGGTTTTGTGTTTGTGCAAACTTTGTACTTTCTCCTGCTCAGATTCTCTAGAGATCATATAGTTTCTTAAGTGGAATTGAGGATGTCAAGGAAAGGCCTCTACTCCAGGTACGAACCCTGGACTTTGGTCAATAATCTGTTGTGTGACCTTAAGCTACTGACCACCATGTAGACTCAATTTATTCATCTGTAAAATGAGGGAGTAGAGGAAATGGTGAACACTGAATGATCCATAAAGCCTTCCCTAGCTCTCTTACATGTTATAATCCTAATTTTAAGATTTACAGAATTTATAATCTCAGAGGTGATTGTAGACTGGAAATGAAGAAATCATCCTTTTAAGCTGTGAGCATAAGAATCTAATTTATTTTTGAATCCTGCAGTTGGCCACCTTTAAAAGGGGTACCTGAAGGATAATTAATGCCTTCTTTAGAGTCCTCTCTTTGTGTGTGTGTGTGTGTGTGTGTGTGTGTGTGTGTGTGTTGTTGGGGATTGAACTCAGGGCCTTAATGCATGCTAGGCAAGTGCTTTACCACTGAGCTATTCTCCCAACCCTTCTTCATTAGCTTTTTTTTTTTTTAATTAAATATATATTTTTCAGTTGTAGGTAGACACAATACCTTTATTTTATTTTTTATGTGGTGCTGAGGATTGAACCCAGTGTCTCACGCATGCTAGGCGAGCGTTCTGCTACTTGAGCCACAACCCCAGCCCTTCATTAGCTTTTTTTTTTTTTTTTTTTTGGTACTGGGGATTGAACTCATGGGCATTCGAACACTGAGCCACATCCCCAGCCCTATTTTGTATTTTATTTAGAGACAGGGACTCACTGAGTTGCTTAGTGGCTTGTTTTTGCTGGTGCTAGCTTTGAACTTGTGATTCTCCTGCCTCAGCCTCCAGAGCTGCTGGGATTACAGGCATGTGCCATCGGGCCTTGCTTTATTAACTTTTAAGCCATGAACAAAAGGAAATCTGAAGCTGAAAACCAGAGCAGAAGATGACTTTGTAGATAGAACAGGCCAAATAGAGTTTCTGAAGTAGTGGTATGCTAGGAAATGTTTAACTACCAGCTTTGGTGTGGCAGGGACCAGACTGGTTGCATTTCCTTATTGTCATGGTGCAAATACTTCCCCTATGGCCGATTTCAAACTACCAATGTGGACTTGGGTCAAGATGCACAGTAGTATATCATATAATATTTCTCTCATGTAGCTATAAATAATCACAATTGTTTGAGTAATGGAAAAAGATAGCAAAATAATTAAGAAATAATGAATTTTGAGTATTAGCTTTGTTTTTATAATAATTCACTTAATTGTAAGTTTGTATAATTTGAATTTTAATAAAGTATGTATTTAATAACCAGTTTGGAAAAATTCTTGAAAATATAACACTTAGCTCTTAGGTATCTCTCCGATACAAACAGCCTCTCACATGCACATTACTGGATCCCAGTGTCTTTCCTCTAGGCCAGCACCTATGAAGTGCAGATTTCCCTTGGAATTTAACACCAAACAATTGTTTGTTCCAGCTGTTCCAGAAAGACCCAGTTCCATGGATCTTTCTGTCTGCCTTCAAGAAGTTTCATGTCTAGTAAACAGGAGATGAAGTGTGTGTTCATAATGTAGGTCAACAAGCATTAAGTGGAATAAAATGCATAAGCGTATGCGTGTCTTTCACGGATCTAGAAAGGGGGCATGCCCAGGTAAGACTGAAGGCCCTCTTCTTCTCTAATGTTCCAGGAAAATGAGATTCCGGAGTCCTAGGGAAGCACTGGGGTTGTAATCAGTGAAGAATCAAGTCACCTTTGCCTTGCCCAACTTCAGGAAACCGAGGCCATTCATGGAACCATGGTATCTCTAAGCCAGAGAGTCCCATTGTACAAGGAGGAAACTGGGGTGGGGGAGTGATCAGGGTCACACAGTGAGTTTAAGCCAAGACAGCCTGGATCCCACCATTCCAGTTTGCCTGGGATTGAGAGGTTTCCTATGACATGTGGGATCTTGGGTGCTGAAATTAGGAAAGTCTTGAGCAAACTGGGATGGTTGGTGACCCTACAACAACAGTGTGCAATCCCAGGCCAACGCTTCTTTCCAAATGTGCACTCTCACAAAACTTCCCAAATCTTTGGTTCTGCCACATTTCTTTTTTAGGTTCCTTGCAGGGCTCTGAGCCTTTAGGGCTGCTTAGTCTGTGGAGCAAGTGGGGGAAGAATTGGGAGGGAATGGAGAGGGGGTGGAGGTGACTGGAGAATGCCAGAAGAGAGATAGGATTTCTGACTTTTTACACTTCTCTGCTAATTAGATAAGGAGGTGGGGAAGGGGGAGAATGAGCCTCCATGCATATTGTTTTGAGCTGTGACAATGAACAGAGTTTAGGGATTTTCAATCTCTGGTCTTCACCCTCCTCTCTGGAAATTTCCCACCCCCTGGGGATACTTGACTTCCAGTCCAAATGCCACAGCTGCTTGAGCTCCTGATCCTCCCTTTGGTCTCCTCAATTTAGCCTCAGTGACTTGCCAAGTTGCCCAACAGTGTTC